ACTTGCAGGTCATCTGCTTGTTGCAAATCAAAATGCCTTTTAAACCTTTGCATAATGCTAAAATTACAACATGCAACATGCCTATATATTGTTTAATGTATATTTGTAACCTCTATGTTAACCTCTCAGTGGTGTTGTGTTGTACATCAGAAACTGAACCGTGGGAGAAGGTGAACATGGTGAAGATGGGATGCATTGTCTCTTATTCCTGTTCCTGTTTTTTTATTTATTTTTTAGGCCTAGGGAAAATAGAATGAAGATTATTAGTTCTGTTCAGAAAAAAGGGTCATGCAGTTTACGTTGTAGGTCAAGCTATATAATTGATTTAGCAGATTTTTGTGTGTGCTGCTGATAGCAATGTCAGGTCATGTTACATGATTCTGTATAGCACATTATACCAGGATGCACGAATGTGGCATTCGCACGATATTCATGAACATGAAAACCCCATTAAGGTCATCAGTGGCACCTTCCCAACCCACAAATGGTAGCAGAAGTTCAAATGCTGGAGTCCCCACTGGGAACCTTTAAGACACACACACACACACACACATACACACACACATATATATATATATATATATATATATATATATATATATACTCACACACACTCACACACTCACACACACTCACACACACACACACACACACACACACACACACACACACATACTGGTACGGGTGGTTTATAAAGACTTTTTCCCCTAAAAAGTTCCATCCTGGTTTATGGGGACCCACCTTTCCCTTTGTCATAGAGATTAATAATAAATATTAAACTGCTCCTTATGGCATGGGGTAAAAATCTGACTGCTCAGAATTTAATTCTAATGAAACAGTCTGGTAATATGAAGACCTGACAAACTAAAGCACTGTAAGGACAGGGCAGGAGTGGGCGTTTCCTGATTGAATTATGATTTATGAGGACTACCCTGGTTTATCTGGACATCACTTACATACATACACACACACACCTGACCCTTACTTATGAGGACTAACCTGGTATCACCTGGACTAACTTTACCCATGAGAGTGCCACATCACTTAAGTTTGTTTCAATACGAGCATATAGAAAAACAAAACAAGAAATGATCAGCAATTGTTCAACCTGGCTTAAACTTTAAGAGAGATTTCAGAAAACTAACCTGAGTTTGTAATGTGAGATTTAGCAGGTGTGAAGTGAGTGAAGAGCAAAAAGAGAAGAGTGAAAGTGAAATACGGAAATATTTTAGCTTTAAAAATTAAGAAATTAAAAAACCAAAAGGAGAGTTTACTATTTAACCATCACTGACAAATGCATTCACCCACAAGTATTTTTCATAATTGAACCTTGAATGTCAGTCTTAATTTATTCATTAGATTTTAAGAAGTTTTGTCTAAAGATAGTTTTGAATAAAGCTAAATATTTCCAGTTGATTGGGTTTGGGTTTTGTTAATGTGAAAAGAGAAGATTGTTCAAGACTTGGTATTAGTATCTAAATGAACATTGCTGACCATTTGGGTTTAACTGGACATCAGTAACCATATGAATCATGCATACACACACACAACCCTAACTAACCCTTGATTATGGGGACATTTTGGGTTTAACTGGACCTCACTCACACACACACACACAACCCTAACTAACCCTTGATTATGAGGACATTTTGGGTTTAACTGGACCTCTCACACACACACACACACACAAACACCTGACTAACCCTTGATTATGAGGACATTTTGGGTTTAACTGGACCTCACTCACACACACTCTCAAACACACACAAACACCTGACTAACCCTTGATTATGAGGACATTTTGGGTTTAACTGGACCTCTCACACACACACACAAACACCTGACTAACCCTTGATTATGAGGACATTTTGGGTTTAACTGGACCTCTCTCACACACACACACACACACACACAAACACCTGACTAACCCTTGATTATGAGGACATTTTGGGTTTAACTGGACCTCACTCACACACACTCTCAAACACACACAAACACCTGACTAACCCTTGATTATGAGGACATTTTGGGTTTAACTGGACCTCACACACACACACACCTAACTAACCCTTGATTATGAGGACATTTTGGGGTTAACTGGACCTCACTCACACACACTCAAACACACACAAACACCTGACTAACCCTTGATTATGAGGACATTTTGGGTTTAACTGGACCTCACTCACACACACTCTCAGACACACACAAACACCTGACTAACCCTTGATTATGAGGACATTTTGGGTTTAACTGGACCTCACACACACACACACACACACAAACACCTGACTAACCCTTGATTATGAGGACATTTTGGGTTTAACTGGACCTCACTCACACACACTCTCAAACACACACAAACACCTGACTAACCCTTGATTATGAGGACATTTTGGGTTTAACTGGACCTCACACACACACACACACACACACACACACCTAACTAACCCTTGATTATGAGGACATTTTGGGTTTAACTGGACCTCACTCACACACTCTCAAACACACACACACCTGACTAACCCTTGATTATGAGGACATTTTGGGTTTAACTGGACCTCTCACACACACACACACACACCTAACTAACCCTTGATTATGAGGACATTTTGGGTTTAACTGGACCTCATTCTCAAACACACACAAACACACAAAAACACCTGACTAACCCTTGATTATGAGGACATTTTGGGTTTAACTGGACCTCTCACACACACTCTCAAACACACACAAACACCTGACTAACCCTTGATTATGAGGACATTTTGGGTTTAACTGGACCTCATTCTCAAACACACACAAACACCGGACTAACCCTTGATTATGAGGACATTTTGAGTTTAACTGGACCTCTCACACACACTCTCAAACACACACAAACACCTGACTAACCCTTGATTATGAGGACATTTTGGGTTTAACTGGACCTCTCACACACACACACACACACCTAACTAACCCTTGATTATGAGGACATTTTGGGTTTAACTGGACCTCATTCTCAAACACACACAAACACACAAAAACACCTGACTAACCCTTGATTATGAGGACATTTTGGGTTTAACTGGACCTCTCACACACACTCTCAAACACACACAAACACCTGACTAACCCTTGATTATGAGGACATTTTGGGTTTAACTGGACCTCATTTTAAAACACACACAAACACCGGACTAACCCTTGATTATGAGGACATTTTGAGTTTAACTGGACCTCTCACACACACTCTCAAACACACACAAACACCTGACTAACCCTTGATTATGAGGACAAACTGGGTTTAAATGGACATCACTATTAACTCCACACATAGCAGGAGTACCTGTATTAGAGTTAACCATACTAAACCAAATCAACTATTCTACATTAAAGCGTGAATTCACAAATGATTGTGCATCTTTTTGCTGCCACTAAACCTGTAAAAGTAATACGCACACCTAAGGAAATAGTGCTACAATGTGCTGTTGCTATATCAACCAACATATACACATGGTGCAAAATGAACCTTGTTGGAGAAAATTCAGTGATCAAAGATCAGCAAGTTTTACACTTCATAGAAGACTAGTTAAAGGGCAATTAGATGAAGAAATGCAACTAGACAGCCAATAAAAACTAACAAAATTAAACTGAAAGGGCAATTTTTATTTTGCAAATGGTAAAAAAAAGGCTCAACAACAGATCTAATAAGGCCATTATTAGAGATGCACCGATTGATCGGCTTGGGACCGGAATTGGCCGATTTTCACGTGATCGCCGGTCAGTCTGACATATGCCGATTTTATACTGGTCAAACGCACTCGGGCGCCAAATGATTAACATCGCTGAACATCAGCATCACACGTCCACATGGAACGCACATGTAGAAAACCTCGTGAATTACGGCCGTTTCACACCGCAAGCGTGAGAGGCACGTATTTTTTTCGGCGTGCATGTTAACCAGTGAGTGCATCACACCGGGAGCGGGAGCAGAGCGTGAGCGTCAAGCAGGAGCGGCGTGTGAGAAGCAGTGAAGCGGTTCAGAGTCTATTTTTGCTGCGCTGCTCACACTCAATTAAAGTGAAAGCACACTTTTTTTGATGGGCAAAATAAATATGATTTCACACAAAAAGTGCCCAAAATGCACAGAATTTGCATGTCTAGTGTGTTTTAACAAGAACTGGAGTAGGCTATGTCAGAAAAGAAAATGAAGACTCAAATATTTATAGAAAATTCACCCATTTAAACTTGTTTTTATTATTCAGTTTGGGTAGAAGTATATGGTGTTTTATAAAAAAAAAAATATAGAAAATAAATATTTGTGTGTGCTGTAAAGTGATTAGAAAAAATGAAATCGGAATCGGCTAAAATCGGTATCGGCAGGTCAAACTCGGAAAAATCGGAATCGGCGCATCTCTAACCATTATGGGACTAAAGTGCATGAGGGAGTGTGCCTCAAAATGACCTCAGCAACACACTGGAAATAAAACCAAATTAAATTGCCTTCCAGTAAATGCATGTATTTGTACATTTCTTTCAAAACAGTGTTTTAATAAAAGTAAATAAAAGGATGTCTTGAACACTCTTCTGGCCCAGGAACACTTTAGAGAACAAAACCCAGACATTAAAGGTTGTATCAGCGATTTCAGGCCCAAACATAAATGATCACATTCATCTAATCTTTCCTAACGATCCGCTAGCTGGCCGCCCCATAAGTATGCAGTCCAAAAACCGCGTCTCTGTAGGCAGCCTAGGCTCTGAGATCTGCACACAAAAACAATGGGTTTCACCAACCACTCAAAACCAAAATAAACAGTGTTCCAACCAATCACCGACAGTTCCAACCAATCACCGCAAAATCTCAAACCACAACACCCCCACCTTTTGTGTGCAGATCTCAGAGCCGAGGCTGCCTACAGAGACGCGGTTTTTGGACAGCATGCTTATGGGGCGGGCAGCTAGCGGATCGTTAGGAAAAATTAGATGAATGTGATCATTTATATTTGGGCCTTTTCTGGGCCTGAAATCGCTGATACAACCTTTAATGGAAGGCGACACTGATCTCTCGAAGAACTCTAAGAAGATTTCTTTTTCAACATCAAACCTCGGTTCCTCACGAAATCCCTTATATTTTGGGCCGTTCTTTCTCTCAGAAGAGGGTCCTCTGCAGCCTTGCACTGCTCACACTCTGCCTTTGTTGCAAGGTGTCCCTTTGAAATGTGGACTCTGAAATGTTTCATGACAGCATTCACTTCATTTGGGCTCCATGGCCTTTTCACAATTCTCCTCAATTTGGTTTCTGTAAAACAAACAAACATATACATACACATATGTATACCTATACACCTATATGTATATACATGGAATAACTTTAATATACCCAAATGTTTAAATACCTCTGGAGTTCTCAGTTTCATCCTGATTCATTTGGCTTTTTCCTGAGGGGTAAAAAGCAACAATTAAAATGTATTCCAGCCCTACAATCCAAACAGTTTCGGACCATGTGAAATATCAGCAGATAAGCACACAGGGAAAACTAGTCTCTGGTCCTGTGTAACATGAAAAGGACCACTTTACACTGAATTACTGTGGAAGATAAAAAATAAAACATGAACCCAAAATCAACATGTATCCTTTTTCTCAAATAAATATCTAAAATATATGCGCACACACATACCTGTGGAGCTGTCAGCCTCACCCAGGCCCATTTTTGTTTTTTCTAAGGGAAAAAAAGCAACACACTATTCCTCTTCTCTACACGGCAAACAGGTATATAATATATATAATTATTATTATTATTATTATTATTATTATTATGTAAATATGAGGGCTCTGAACCAGTTTAAAGAATGAAAACAAAAACTGGGGAAAAACCAGAAACGATTACTTGAAATGACCATTAACCGGTTAATAATGGTGTTTTTTTCCCTTCTTTTTTCTGTTTAAAGGGTAATTCCACCGGTTGAGACATGAATATGTATTGAAAGTGGGTCATATATGTAATAGAATAGTAGCATACATTTCTAATTTGGGTCCTTCTTGGCCGATAAAAGGCAGAAAATGACTTTTTAGTGCTTGTGGATTGTAGACAACAATCCCCATAGTGCATTGCAATGCTCAGTTCCGCAGGCCACTCCCACTACCTACCGCCTGGAAATCATTTCACACAATTTCTAGTGAAGAGTTACTTTGCGAACTAATTATTTGCTTTATCATGCTCGTTAGCTTATACCTGCGTGCATGAAGTTGTCTGGACTTGTGTTCTTCCACAGCTTTCTCAGTCCTTTTTACCGTCTTGTTCATCCATAACGAGCGAATGTTTACACACTTTATTAGTGCAAATATCAAAACCGTAGGGTGAGCTTAACACACACACTGCGTTCCACTTCGTCGTTTCGAAGTATACGAAGTATAAGTATAATATATATAATATATTCTTTTGAATCGGACACAGGCGTTCAACACATCATTTTCAAATTTAATTTTTATATCATTATTTTAAATTACTATTGTCCCAGTTTCAGTAAGGAACTCTTGTAATAAAGTAGCAGTGGTTGGGATATTATATTTTAAGTATCAACCCCACTTAAAAAGATGCAATCTAATCCGGTTTACATGAAATAAGCTTCGAGGAGGTTTAAGTTACGGACCACTATAGCAACACTATGACAGCAAGTCCAGGATGAGCACTGAAGAACCAAACAATCCAAGATCATGCCAAATCATCCACAATCAAATCCCACTAACTGAGTGGCGTACGAAAAACGGACCCTAGTTCCTTACTACCCTTGCATTGAAAACAAGACAGTCTCCAAAGCGTGCGCGTAACTGTATGAGGTTTTGTCGTCAGTTTGAGGATGGACTGGAGTTATGAGGTTTATTCACAAGCTGTTAGCATCGAGTTCAATTCAATTTCTGGTATTAGTTATTAACCAGTATGGTTTCTAATCAAGCCGTTCTCTGAACAATAATGTTTCACAAGTAACGCATGAACAGAAATGTAAGGTTGGATTTTCTTTTTTTTTAAAGCCCTGGTAAATATATAAATATACATTAAAACATACCGTTGGAACTTTCTGTCTTGTCCTGGGTCAACTTCATCCCTTCTTTGCTTCCTACATTTAGAAAATGAAACCATACTTAAAACTTGACAACCCAAATACTTTGTTTCTGATAATCAGAAACCTGATGTAGTGAATACACTACACCACTGATGCTCACTGGAATTAAATTCATTACATACCGCTTACTCCAGAGACAGGCTCAGACTCTTCATTGTCGTCATCGCTTACTTCTTCCTCATCTAAATCCAGATCAATTTCATCTATAGAAAAACATATTTGACAAACATCCCCATACACCTGCATTAGTGCACATATACAATTCCTAAACTTCCTTATCTAAAGAAATGAGAGGTACTCATTCAAAAAAATGAGGTACTCATTAAAAAAAAACCTCATTGACCTCAAAAACATCTTTTCTGAGTAACCTAATTAGCTTCAAAGTTTTTCTCTACATGTAATTTAGAATTGTCCTGTTACTGTACCGTAACATTATTATTATTATCATATAAAATAAGGCACAAACCTTCGATCTCAATTTCATCAAGAGACTTTCCTTGGAAATTGACAAGAGTTCCTTTCTCCATTGCCAAGAGCAGCTTTGAAATTTTTGCAATTTCTATAGTTGCATCTGGCAACCGATAATAGTCTCTATGGACCCGAATGTCGTGGCCCAAAAAGTTGGCTAGTTGATCAAGCTCATTATCCTTAAGATTAAGAACCTGGGACATTGTTGCCACCTGCTTACGGAGCTGTGTAGACCGGAGATATTCTGGGTGCTGTGCACCACACTGACTTGCAAAAAGCCTGATGCAGTCCTGTCCTCTGAAGAAGCTGTTGGGCGAGCACTTCGGTCTTCCAAATAGGAAGGGGTTGTCCCCGTCTACTTCACATGCATCTCTCTTGTCCACAAGAAGTTTTATTGCACGGACAAGTTCAGGGTTTAACAAAATTGCAACTTTTCTCCCTTTCTTGCCCATAATTTCCACTCTGCTGAAATGCTTGGCCATTTTTTGCTCAAATGGAGAGAGACTGACGGCGATATCATCATGGAGCTCAGTCTGGTCTCTTTTCCTGAAACACTCAAGCGTCATTTTTGAAACCTCTCCTGCACGACGTCTATTAAAGATTATAACTTGTGCAAGTGTCACTTTGGCGAGTTCTGCATATGTTTGTGAAGACTCATGATTTTTTAGGCTTTCAAAAGCATCAGCTGATTTTTTCTCTAGGTGCTGGTGGAGAAGCTGCACATCATGTGTGAATGGTATAGTTGATGGTTTGTTGAACTTTGATTTGTTCAAAGTAGCAAGAGCAGCATGGGAGACATGTTCTGCCCATTCACTTGAGCACAGTCGTTTAAATCGCTCTGCTGCTTTTGTCATGCCATCATCCTCTGCTGCGATGGCCCTGCAGAGAATGATGTCACCGATCTTGTTGAGCGAGTGTCCTAACTTCAGCGCAAGGCTTGGTGTCTTATATGAGTGGCTCTTTTCATCGTAGCCAGCAACATCTTTCACAGCCTCAATGACTTTGTAAAAATTGTTTGGCTTCACAGCATCTTCAAAACTAAATATGAAGTATTTTTTTCTCAAGGTTAGCAAGAGTCTGCCCATTTCCCGAACCTTCTGTCTGATGTATTCGGATTTTGTTGGATCACTTCCATGCTTGTTGTAAAGACACTGACTCAACTGCAGTATGAGGAAGTCATTTCGAACCACAGATGAAATGTCATCAATCTTCATGTTTCCCAAAATCTTCCACACCTCCGGAGATATTGCCTGGGAGAATGTTGACTCTGCAATATCAGCCAAAACTAAGACTTTGGCCTTACCAGTTGCTTCAGACTCTGAAAACATCTTTGAAGGGCATCTCCGTGTATGGCGCCACAGCTCCTTGCGAACAAACATGCCTTTACAGTATACACAGTGCACATATGTTTTGGCACTCAGTTCAATGTCTGATCGTCCTGGCCGCCTTCTAACTTTCAGTGGTCCACTTTTACTTTCCATAACCTCTTGATTATGTTCATAGTTGCCTCTGTTTCGTAATTTCTGAAGTAACCTTTTTCTGTCCTGGGAGTGTTTAGGGAGCAAGAATGCAGCAGCAATTTCTGTCTCACTGTCTTGATGCTTTTTAAAGTGGCGGGCTATTTTAGACTGTGGTTTCTTGCAGACATAACAGTAGTTTTTGTGGGTGGAAATAGTGTTTTTGGGGTTTGGCACATTGTCAGTCTCTGAGCTTTCACAAGAAGACACTGCTGGTGTTTTCTTAAAACTCTGAAGCATCTCAGTATTGTGTGTAGTAGTATCATGATCATCACAAGTGAGGTCTTCAGCATAACTGGATCTAACCATTTCTTGCTCAGTGGAAGAACAGGGAATGGGTTGTGGTGGCACACTCTTTGCTCTCATAGAAGACTCTGAAAAAGCTGGTGTGGACTTATAATATGGTGGATTGCATATATTGATAGATACACTATCATCACTATCGCTATTTTGTCTAGAGTCCGGGATAAAGTCATCAGAGGAAGATTCTTCAGTGTGTTTATCAGCGTGAGGAGAATACTCTTCATCAGAACCAGATTCTTCAAAGCTGGAAAATTCAACATCTGGCTAAAAAAAAAAAAAAGAGAACAATAATAACAAAAATAATAATACAATAATAGTGTACCCTGCTTATAGTCCAGCACAGTTTTGATGTAACAAACTTGAAAATGTTTATGTAAAAGAAGGTGATGTAAAAGAAATTAACATACCAGTGTCATATTCAGGAAGCAGGTTTTGTGCCATGATCTTGAACATACTGAAAGAATATAAAAATAAGCATGTTTCTTTTAGGTTTTTTACCAGATTACTGCTCATTTTAAAATGCCGAAAACAATAGATATGCCTTTGAAATAATAATGATTTGAATAAAACATTTAATAAAAGCCCATTTTGTTTTCAAACAAAAATGAAAACACATACAAACATATATGAGTGATGCAGATACTGACATTTGCATGTAAGGCCAAGCCATTTTCGACTTGACACAGGTCCACTGCAATCTTCACAAGAATCCAAACTGGAGATAACAGCACTGTGAACTTCATGGTGGCACTATAACAAAAAATATTTATTAAATCAACATATATTGAACATAGCACAACTTTCATTCCAGAGTGTGGTGTGAATGGGCCTCAACAGTTTACGTCTCTGTGACTGAAAGTCACAAAAGCATATCCAGATTGAAAAGTGTGCATATTGGGTCTACAGCTTATCCACAATAAAGAAGCAGCCGACACATACCCAAAGCAACATCTTTTCAACAAACCCTAACCCTGACATGATGGTCCTCGTAGTGGAGAACTGTCCTTACATTTCAGGTCAGTGTCATGCCCATCCCCCAACGCTCGAGTTATGAAAATGAATGAACCGAGCAAGGTACATTTTACTCGAATTTGAGACGTCACAACAGCGTCTTTAAGACGACAGTCCACGTCAACCAGTCTAGTATGATGCCCAACCATCCTACACTTAACATTGCCTGTGTCAAAGAGAAGAAAACAATGAAGGAACATGCGCTCACTTACTTTCTGTTTCACTGATGAGGAAGGATTCACACTGCATTCAGTCACAGCCACTGATGTCTCGTCACACAATTCCTGTAATTATGAGAAAGACAGGTACAACACTGAGGCAAGGATGCTTGCCAATTGGTCACCGCAACTAATTCTAGTATCAACCAAAGACTAAATATCTAGTGTCCCTTTCATGGCTCCGTCGTGCACAAAGCAGACATATAAAACATGCAAGGAGGAGGCTGATACATGTAGATCTTGTCTATAAAGTCAAATAAATCAAATACACATCAACATACCATTTCCTTTCCAGTCAAAGCTGAATCTCCTTTCTTTGCAACCATCTTTGATGTGGTCATCTGAAATCAGACAGAGCAATTGTATGCTGTTGTCATAAAATGGTTTCATTCTGATGCATAACATTTAACAAATTAGTATGAACGCGGATGTTATTTATGCTTTCCCTCCTAAAATGACCCTTAAAATGCAGATATTAGACAAGAAAATCTCCCTAAACGCAAACCCCTCCCCGCTAGCTGAGGACAGGATGAATTTTACCAACTAAAAAAGGCCTGTTCAAACTAAAAACTATATATCTATTAAATTATAGGCCTAAAAAATCCTCTCAGTATTAAAGAATAGCAGAGCCTACACCACAGCTTACGCGATAACACAGAGAAACAAAAACAAAAATAATCACTTTCAGAACGATTTTACCAGCTGAGAAACGCTAGAAACCTTGGCAGTAGGGGTGTAAAGATACCCTCATGTCACGATTCGATACATATCACGATACGATATTATAGAGATACTCCAAGACGTGGTAAAAGGGTAACTTTTTTTTTTAACTGTTGATTAAAATGCCTAATTAAACTCTGTAAACTTGATTGTTTCCCCTCACACAGTAATTTTTATTTTGGGTGTACTATCCACAATACATATTGTCACTATCCACAATATATATTGTTGCATTTTTGTATTGCGATATATTGCTTAATTGACAGCCAATCGGAATCAATTCTGCTATAACATGCTTCAGTATATAAGCGGCAGTCAAAGATGCGATCACAATAAACAGAGCGTTACCGTCTGCTGGTTGGACCCTAACACAGTTATGGTTGGTGTGAATGGGCCTTAACAGTTTACGTCTCTGTGACTGAAAGTCACAAAGCATATCCAGATTGAAAAGTGTGCATATTGGGTCTACAGCTTAGAAGCAAGCAGCCGACACATACCCAAAGCAACATCTTTGCCTCAAACCCTAACCCTGACATGATGGTCCTCGTAGTGGAGAACTGTCCTTACATTTCAGGTCAGTGTCATGCCCATCCCCCAACGCACGAGTTATGAAAATGAAAGAAACCAATTCCATTTTACACAAAGGAACAAATATTATCCAACAGATTGACTGAATTTATATCAATCTGTAGCCTATAATAATTCCAATCGTAATTTCAAAAGCAGTTATGTTAAAAAAATAGAAAAAAAAAAAACTTAATGGGGTTCCATATAGGCTACAGAAAGAGTTTTTAAAAGCATGGTTGTGTAACAAGGTGCGATATGCTGGTGGGGGATTTCCCCCCTCCACAGTAATCAATGCTATAGCCTAATTCACCAATAGACCACATCAAATATATTATATATTTTTAAAAATATGCAACACGCACGTTTAAACAACAAACAATACAATCTGAACTGGCGCTTCTGCTCCTGTATTGAGAGATAACATGCAGCGCGTTTCAGTTACGATCCTGGTTCCAGTGGCCTTAATACATTCACGGCTTTTCAGAATGTCACAAAGCGTTTTGAGATGTTTTTGAACAAAATATTGATGTTTATAATTAAGTGTATTGGCACACCGAGTGGCGCTACGCATTGTTCTAAAATTGGGTTTTATTCTGGCATGTTGAACTAGAGTTCGACAAACACGGCGGCGCGTTCACTTGAATTTATTTTTTTCTCATTACAGCTAAAAGAACTTAAAAGGCTAGCCTACTCCGCAATTTTTGGTCATACAGATAAGATATCATCTTTTTTTAAACTGTAAAAGGTCTACAATATGCTAACGATAAAACGTTTTCTCGCTCATGTGAACGAACACACTGGAGAAACAAACGTTTGGTCATTTCACAGTGAGTAAATTCATGGCCGAGTGGTAGAACTTACTGTTCGATCATTTAGATGACACGGGTTCAAATCCCGAACAAACTTGAGACTTTTGTAAATTTTATATTAGCCTATTAATGCATTTTATATCCGATTATTAATGCAGAGAGATTTGTCTAGTTCTAAAACTCTGTTACACCATATAGTTTTTGCTTATTTTTATAAAATAAAATTGCCAAGCATTTCCATTTTACACTGGAACAAATAGTATCCAACAGAATGACTTTACATCTGTTTAATAATACCAATCGTAATTTATAAATAGCTATACACTATATATATTTTTGGGATTCCCTATAGGCTACTTCACCAATATACCATATACAATATATAAAATAGAGATATGCAACAGGCACGTTTAAACGACAAACAATAAAATCAAAACCAGCGTTTCAGTTGTTCATTAGTTCCAGTGGCCTTAATGCATGCACGGCTTTTCAAAATATCACAAAGCGTTTTGAGATTATTTTGAATGAAATATTGAAGTTTATAATTAAGTGTTTTGGCACACCACGCCGAGTGGCGGAATACTACATTGTTCTAAAGTCGGGTTTTATTCTGGCATGTTGAATTAGAGTTCGACAAACGCGGCGGCGCGTTCATTTGGATTTATTTTTCTCATAACAGCTAAAATAGCTTAATAGGCTACTCCGTATTTTTTGCCTACATCGTTCAAAACTGTAAACTTTTATTCATATTAGGCTAACAACAACATTTTACAGGGTTCCTGCACACTTTTGAAAGTCAAATTTAAGGCTTTTTAAGACCTTTTTAAGACCTTAAGAAATCAAAATTAATACCGTACATTAGGGCTGTGCAGTATTGACAAAAATATATCTTGATATTTTCAACGTTTTGTTGATAATAATTAGATGATATTTTCCTGATTGTGTTTTTGTGCTGGTGCCATGGCTGGTTTAGGTCTGTTGTTGACAGCTGACTCACGAAGATATTCATATTTTTCATATTCTATGCAGTGGTCAGTTCACAGCAGTGACAGAAATTAATATTTTAATTAAGGGGCAATATTTGCCACCTTAAATTGATTTTTTCAGGGGCATTTTCACCTATATATGGACATTTTTTCTAAACTTATTTAGAGTTATGCATCACCTTTAATGTCAAATACTATCATTCAAATTAAATTATACAGTAATTATACAATAATACTTAATTATATAATAATCATACAGTACCACTGTTACCAGTCAAATTAAATCATTCAATCAAAATCCATCTTTGCAGTGCAGAGGTGACAGAAGCGGCATCAGAAGTGGCATTAATATATTTACACTCCATTTACAACTGCATAAATAAAGCTATGAGATATATAGCCTATTTTTAAATCAATATTCAATATTTAAATATGAAATGATTTCTAATTTTAACATTTTATTTAAAGGGTACTTTAAATATGAAACCGCAGCGGCAAATCACTGTTGTGAGTAAGTGAGTTGAGGGAGTCATTCATTCAACCGATTCGTTCAAACGGCTGATTCATTCGGGAAAGAAGCAAGTGATTCGTTCAAAACGCGGATTTCAGTCAAGAAATCATCGCTGTCGGTTGCATTGAGACTCTGCTACTGTTTCATTTTGAAATTATAGTCGGCGAAATAAAGGAAAAACAAACAATATTGACAATATTGTGTCTAAAAAGTAACTCAATGTTAACTTATTGTTAATTTAACTTTTGTATAACATAAATATCACACTTGGAATTGTGCACGGGAAAACGGCACTCTTTCTGATGTGATATTCTAATATAAGAACATAATATGATATAAATATAAGACAAAAACTAATTTGGGGACATAACAGTTACACTGCACACATCACGCAGTGAAAGCACGAGACAAATGCGATGTCAGCTCGCAGTGCCTCGTACATTGTTAAAACAATGATTACAATATCATAATAGACAATACACATCGCACACCATACGCACATAAAGAATGAACTTACAACTGAACTGACATTTACGACCTTTATTCTCCTTCTCTCCTCTCGCGTGCAGGAGACAGTTATGCTGCCGCGACTCGCGAGTGACGCGAAATGTCACGTGAATTAGCAAATCCACAAAGATAGAATAATAAATAAATAAAAATACGTACGCTAATTAGATAGTTTTAATTTGGAAAGCTTTTAGATATGTCTAAGTCAAAGTGTCATCTAAAATTTAAGACCTTTCATAAGTAAAAATAAGACTTTATAAGACTTTTTATGGTCTTAAATTTTAAAAAATCTAATTTAAGACTTTTTAAGACTTTTTAAGGATCCGCGGGAACCCTGATTTTAGCTGTCGTCTCGTCTCTGTCTCCGGGAACTGCACGTCACAAAAATGAACCGAAAGCCACTTGCCTCAGCTCAGTCACGATAAGAAATCGGCTATGTCTAAAGCCTTTAAATGTCTAAATATTTAATAAATGTTATCTGATTATGTAATCCATCTAAAGCTGAGGTACAGATGATCTACTCAAACATGTTTAGCTATGATGTGAGCGCTTCCCAATGAGGAAAGGACAAGGGGGAAAATCTCGCTCTAATTAAATGTAGGCTAAATCGCCCTGAATTAAAATGTGAAAGCAGATCAAATAATTTATTTGTCGAAATGTTGCTATATTGTTTAATTTAAGTTCATAATTATTCTATAAATGTTATTTAGTTTAACAGCAGCACAATGAAGCACTGTGGTTCGAGGTTTATTTGAATAAAAAAGAACAACTTGTTGAAATTGAATGAATTATTGAAATGAAATATTTAGTAATAAAGTTTCATGACAGAAATATCACTACATGTAGCTTACATTATTTAATTCCTTCATTATCAACACTTTAATAGTCTAATGCTAGAATGGCGGTTTAAGTGTGAATTGCGACTTCTTTTTGTTGTAAGTCAGTCTCAGACTCAGAGAGCCTGTGGGGGGTTGGAGGGACAGTGGCTTTATCGCGTGTGCACAATAGGTGTTAATGTTCCTCTTTCATATGGAGATGTCGGATAGCCAGCCTGATGAGCAGGCAAAGGCTAAATTCTTATAAATCTCTCGGTGTGTCCAAATGTAGGCCCTATATCTTATTAAATTATAAATATTGTAGTTTATTTTTTGTATTTAAAGTTTTCACACAAAATTTCAATTAAAGTGTTCAATCCAGTTGTTTCAACTGGTTTTTATAGTTTTAGAATGTTTGAGCACTGTGTATGATTGTCAACAATCTGGCATTATCTAAACATTAACTGTTGACTAAACACGTTCATGCCACAGCAGATACAGAGCTCTTTAATTCGCGATCAACCTCGTTTTATTGTAAAGTGAATTCAACAAGGCATGCTTTGTCTTTGAAGCAACAAAGGCTAAATAATTTGTTTTTTTGGAGGGAGGGAGACAAAATAAACTTGCTAAAAAGAGATCAAGCGTGAGAGAGAGGCAAAGAAAAACGCATGTTCTTAATTTATGTGGCTTTGGACTATTTTCGTTTTGTACTGTTTTAATTGTTTAAAGGGTCATGAAACCCCCCTCTATCAGCTCAAGTCTAGCTCATAATCTTTTTGAAAAATGCAACTTAAATGGGCGTGGATGGCTGTGAGAAGAAGTGAGGGAGTGGGTGTGGCACGGTAGGGGAGAGGGGGAACTGCCATCAGCCAGCAGTGTTGCCAGATGTACGATAATTATCGTATTTGTACAATAATGTTGACCTCTGTGCAATGTACGATCAATAATGAACAATAATCTCAGAGTTTTCAGTCGTTCGTCCAAACACACATCCTACCGCTTCTCTCTCTGACCCCGAATCAATTCGCAGGCTCGCCTGCCTGCACGTACGTACACACACACACACACAACACGGTGTCGCCCGGCTCGCACGTCAACACTACACATTCACAAGTCTCCCGCATTAAGCATACAATTGATATATTATCGAAATATCTAAAATGTTCATAACGACCGCTTATTTAAGAAAAGGCAAGTAAAATGAGCAGGGTTACATTTTAGACACACACTCTGAAGGGATAGAAAAGTCCTCAGGACTTGGTACCGCATTACTCGCAAGACGTAACTTGCATTGGTCATCGACAAGGCTGAAGTCCACCATTCTCCAATTCTCGAAGCTCTCTCGGGTAAAATGTTTGCGGCACTTGCGTCCCATGATTGTCTCTCTCCTTTACTACCCGTACGCGATATCACAGTTTGACATGTCTGTGGAAAGATCCACGTGGTGTCATGAATAATTAAGAGACAGTGTCTTCTCATAGGATATAAAAATTCAGTCTCATCAATAATTATGAGAGACCGATGAGTCATCAACGCACTACACTGTGCACTGCCACGTCACAGCCTGCGATGAAGATTTTAAACCCGGAAGACGAAAATAGCTGGAAAAAAATAAAATTTAACCATTTTCGCCCTACTATTAAATCTAACAGATGCTAACATTGTCTTCAATGTTGTTCAACACACATACCTCTGTTAAAATCTCAGAAAATTTGGTTTAGGGTTTCATGACCCTTTAAAGGGGTCATGACATGTTTTTTTTTTTTTTTTTTTTTATTATGTTCCCTTATGTGCAATTATAGTATTACTATAGTTTTTTGTACAAAAAAAACCTTTAAAAATGTAGTGATTTATGACCTTTTCCCACCCTGTTTCTCCCCCTCTGATTCAAACAGTCTGTTTTGGAGGTGTTTCCCCTTTAAGAGTTAAGAGTAAACAAAACGCTTGACATTAAATAAATAAACAGTTAATGAACTCGCTAATAAACAGTTACCTATTTAAGCATCAAGAACGGTAAAACATAAATCAAGTCGGCCAACAGCATGTTGGCTACATTGACATTCGATCTCGGATCGCTTGAAGCTCCGTGAGGCTCGTGTTGTTGCGTTAACCACTGAGCTACCGTCTGAACGCTATTAAATTACGTCTTATGCTCTTCCAGACCCTCATTGATAGCCTAATATATTTCTGTTGCTATGTTTTATGTTGTAATGTTTTCACTATTTATTCAATTTAATTTCAGTATTGTGATTATGAATTCGTTTAACTACAATGTTTCACTTGAATTAATCTGTTACCAGCTTTCAATCGCTCTGAATGAGCCGCGGCGCGGCGGTAGATTACGCAATAGAGAGAATAAACGGACACCTTTCAAAGTCTGTGATTGTAGCGCCTCTTAGCGGTAAAAGGCAGCAAATACACATCCAAATTTTACCGCCGCTCTTGTTGAGTACCAACTGTACCCAAAGCAACATCTTTTCAACAAACCCTAACCCTGACATGATGGTCCTCGTAGTGGAGAACTGTCCTTACATTTCAGGTCAGTGTCATGCCCATCCCCCAACGCTCGAGTTATGAAAATGAATGAACCGAGCAAGGTACATTTTACTCGAATTTGAGACGTCACAACAGCGTCTTTAAGACGACAGTCCACGTCAACCAGTCTAGCATGATGCCCAACCATCCTACACTTAACATTGCCTGTGTCAAAGAGAAGAAAACAATGAAGGAACATGCGCTCACTTACTTTCTGTTTCACTGATGAGGAAGGATTCACACTGCATTCAGTCACAGCCACTGATGTCTCGTCACACAATTCCTGTAATTATGAGAAAGACAGGTACAACACTGAGGCAAGGATGTTTGCCAATTGGTCACCGCAACTAATTCTAGTATCAACCAAAGACTAAATATCTAGTGTCCCTTTCATGGCTCCGTCGTGCACAAAGCAGACATGCAGAATTTTTTAAAATAATCTGCATCATATAAAAAACTAACATTCATGAAATACAGAACATGGTTGACTTTCAGTGATAAAGTCTTTAAGAGACTCACCCTTAAACGCCAAGGCCAAGAGGAATCCCCATAGTTGTATGTGACCTCCTCATCTGGAAAGATATGTCTTATACTAAACAGACACAGGTGTGGCCTTCCGTCAACAATGATTGTCTTGACTTTGCAATTTGGATTTTTGTCATCATCATTCACCAGTCGTCCAAGCGAATGTCCACTGTCCTCTTTCGTTGCATCTATGCTGTGATAAAAATAGTGCAGTAAGAAACTTAAAACATAGACACACACTGAAACATACGGTTCTAACTGAACATTTGGGTTAGGCTAACCTTGGCCTATTTAACCTATATTCAAATACACATTGTGAAAGTTAACTTGACTTCCTAAGAATTTAATAGGTCAGATGATCCACTTAAGGTAAAAAAAATAATACCAATAACCAATAATACCAATGAACAATAACCATTTTATTGATTATCACTAACTAATAAGTTCCTAATGTTATGAGAACACTAGCAAATCTGCTTTTGTAATAGTGCTGCACGATTAATCTTATCGCAATCGTAATCACGATGTCAAGCCTGTGCGATTATATGGCGCAAAATGCTGCGATTTTATGTAAAATAAACAATGGGCTTAGGGATGTAAACGATTAATCGACGATCGATTAATTGTCGATAATACATTAATCGGTCAAACTGATCGATCATCGATTAAGCAGGTTCATGCGCGTGTGTGCTGCTCAACCGCTAAACATGTAAGCGAGCGCGCCGGAGTTATGTTTGGGACTATTTTACACCTTCATCATGAAGGTGTATTTGCGTGTGAATTCGCAGCCTTTTGTTTTGTGCAAATGTAAGTTGTAATAGTTTATTATGTGTGCGCATTTCTATATCTGATTTATCTCATATTGGATGCATTTGGTTAAGAATTGAAGCGTGATCTTTAGCGCGCGCTGCTCAAACGGCAATGCATGACTAATAATGACTATTGGAACTGTCATATTACATTATAAAGAGAACAATATTGTAAAAAAACATTGTGAATTATTTGGGTTCAGTTGCTGTGTCGCGTTGTTCCAATAAGAGCGCGTGCACAACATGAGTCATTCTGAATGGCACGTAAGTTCAAGTTCACTTGTGCATTCACGGCATTTTGTGAAGATATAATTTGTAATATTATGTTTATTTTGTATATATCTGACTAATCTCATATAGGTTGCGAACGAGCTAGCAAAGTGCTCAACGGTTATTCATTCAGCGCGCGCCACTCAAGCAGCAATGCACGACTAATAACGATGATTAATTTGGGACTGTCATATTAGATAACATTGGAACACTAATTTATTAAATCGTTAGTTGCCGTTTTCAGTGCGTTTCAGTGCACGTCCACAACACATTCTGACAAGCACGCATCTGAGGCGGCTTTGGTGACACGTTGTATTAGTCGTTATATTTCATTTAATTATCAATCACATCGAAACATTTTACAATCCTACTAGCCCTTTATTTAGATTAAAAACCATTCTCATTAATTTGGTGAGGAACATAGCGTTTTGAGCAGCATTTGCAAACCCTGTCATGCTGTTGGCCATATGCCACAGCAGCAGACGCATAATTGATTGTTAATTTAAATGACGATCGATCATGGGAATTTGTGAAAATTGACATCCCTTCAGTTCTATAATTGAAGTTTCCAGGTCTAGTAAGATACTGTTGGCTTTCTCAGACCAAGGGGGATTATAAGTGCTGCTGCTAATGTTTCAAGTTTTTCATACGAGTAGTTCACCAGATAGATTATTATATGAAGACTTAATATAGTTTAGGCTAAACCTACCCATAGATTTTTATTTAAAATGTATTTTATGTTTCTTAATGTTTGCAACAGGTGAGCCAGTGCACAATTATTTTTTATGTATTTTAATTTTCTGTGCATAATTTATTTTGTTAAACTACATAAATGCCATTCTGTACCGTATCCCAACTGTTACAATAAAACATAATTTGAGCAATATAACATGCATTTTTATATATAAAGCAATATGTTGCTTTTTATGTTAAAGCCACTATTGATACCATGAGAAATGTACATTCTCAGGAAAATAGCCGCTTATCAGTTAATCGATCGATAAGGTCAATCAATTAATGAATGAATCGATAATTTGCATCCCTAAATGGGCTGTTAACGCAATTAACGCAGCATCTGTTATTTTTTGTTATCCTTTGGCTAGAGTTACATGATAATGCTCTCATGCGATTGCTTAAAACCATTCATGCGAGACAAGTCAAAAGAGAGCGCGCTGAATGTCCGACTGTGACACACAGAAAGACACGCGCCAGAATACAGTTCTCTTTCGCGCTTGAACGAACAACAACACACAATTATGCCAAAATGTCGTTTGTCGAGTATCTTCATAACATAAGAGCAGTCTTATGATGGACGTATAGAGTTGTGAGAGGATGAGGCGCATGTGAGATCCGCGTCTCTGTCAGCAGCGGCTGCTCTTAAAGGGCCAGCAGCCAAAGCTTTCTGTCAGTAAAGTTAATCACAGAACAAAGGGGACAGAGAAAATTACTCACTGCTCTTGACTAAAGAACTTATGTAGCTTTAATAAGGATTAGTCTATTTATTATTTATGCAGCGCAGAGCCGCAGACTGTTTGATAACTTTATTAAATTTCTGCATACCTGTTAGACAGGAAGGGCACAGGTAAATATGACATGTCATTTATTATGGGTTTATGTGAGGATTATTTGAAGTTCACTTAAATTAAAAGCCGTTATATTTTTTGACGTCTAATAAATGTTTTTTTTTTTTAAATTATAGCTTTCAATTGTAATGATGGAATCACTGTAATGTTGGATGGCTATAATTAATGTTTTAAATGGGGGTGGATTAATTTGTATCCAGACATCAATGGCTTAGATGATATCAATCATTTAGTTGTTGTTGCTAGTTTGAGTTGAGAAATACACATTTCAGAATTACAATCTGTGTGTGCATTTTGCTTTAGAATCAAGCAAGTTGACTCATGAAACCATTTGTTTATTATATCGCAATCGCATATTCCAATTGCAATATTGACCTCAATAATCGCAATATGACATTTTCCCCAAATCGTGCAGCCCTATATTGTAATAATAATAGTAATAATAATAAATCATAATCATAACTGTTTTTATTAGAATGACATGCAACTAGTTTGCTCTGAATATGAACCAAAAAAGAAACAGCCAGCTTACCAATAACGTGTTCCATTCCATGTGAAGTCAAACAAGTAGTTGCCTTGAACATCTTTAACATGTTTACTTTGAGAGAGAATCCCACGGTATTCAACAACAAAGGTGGATGGTTCAATGTGCTCAAGTGCAAACACACCTCTCCCTAAAAGGGCAAAATAATATATAATAATACAAATAAAACATGAATCCAAGTGCACCTATATGTTACACAGCTAACCAACCTATCCTTTTAAAGAGTTAAATCCTGTAAAACTGTGTAATGTAATATGAGGTGCAGGAAATAAAAAAAATAAAATAAATAAATCAAGCATTGGTTTTCACTGTGATATAGCCTACTAGTTGAATTTGGTTACACTATTCTCTGTATACATAGTTTTATGTATTTATTTTAAAATAATAATAATAAAAAAATTGTTTCAAGTTTTTTTTTTTCATCTCTTAACCTTTATGAAAATGAGCGGCTTACCCAAGGGTAAAATGTGTGAATGTGAAAGATCATGTCCAGACTGCCAGCAATAGGCCTACTTTTCATTCTTACAAGTGCATGCCTACTTTATGATTTGATTTGCCTGCAGTCTGAACATAGTCAAATTGCCTTGTGGTGCACAATTTACCTTTGAATGTGTTGATTTGTCGTCCCTCAATGAAGGCTTTGTCTTTGCCCGACAATATGTGTTCTTTTGCATCCTGCTCAGGTTTTATTCTCTTCTTTCTTAACATGTTGACTGAAAACATTCCAGACAACATAATTAGTATGTATTTATTAATATAGATAGATGCTTTATATACAGTACATTCTTGTCAGACTGTAGTCTATATCAATAAATACAACATTTTACACAGAAATAGTTGATCAGTGAGGTTTTGAGGCTTGTTACTTTTGATAAGAAACAGTCTCCGATTTCAAATTCAGTCCATTTTAATACCATTTTATCACTCTTTAATGTGGCGCCTCAGATCAAACGAAGCTAAACTCGTTACTTAGAAAAATTAACTATAGAGAGAAAGTTTTAGAAAATGTTACATGTATAACAACAGTTTTACATTAAAATAATAAATGTAAAATCGAATTGGAAATAGAATCGTAAGCATGTGAATTAAAATTGAATGGAATCATAAAATGTCTGCTAATATCCAGCCCTAAAATGAATCAACTAAATATTTTTGGCAAGTCATTCTAATGACAGTAACGTTACATTAATGAAAGTATACTTTTACATTAGTTTCATTTCTGTTTATTTAATATATTTCTGTATCTTACTGTATTAAACTGTAAATTTATCTACTCAACTTTACCAGTCATCATGATGACGACATAGATTTGATTTATTTCAAAATGTAAATTAAGTCTCTCAAGCATCCATGGAGATGTATCTTTCATCAACTAATACTTGTATGTGTCTATGAACAACAAGAGAATTTCGTTTAAAGGTATTGTAGACAAAACAAAACAAAACAAAAAGCGTGAATAGCATGTGCAAGTTGTTTGGAGACGCCATTTTAACTGCTTATGGACTTATATTAGCCCGATTAGTGGCCACGTTTAAAGTAATGTAGGTTAACTAACGTTATTAAAAACTGTCTGACTCATGACACTTAACTCCATAAAGGTAGAATATATAAATAAACGCACTTACCTTCCTCGTGATAAAGTGAAAATCTCCCACTATAGCTCGTCAACTTCGCTCGAATTCTGCTAATTAATCTTTCATGATGATGATTAAACTTCTGATTAATCACACCGTCACACCACACGTCTGCGATAGAAGATCAGAGGCGCAGGCGCGCTGACTTTGACGGATGTGAAATGCAGCCAATCACTGACGAGGATTCCAGCAGCCAATCACTGACGAGGATTCCAGCGTTCCACCAATGAATCGCGCTTGGGCGTGGTCTGGGTGTATGAAATGTGTATGATACTGCAGTAGCGTCGAATTTCACATAGAGGGAGATTATACACTCTGAGCGACTCTGAGCATACACCGTCACACACTGAAAAACGGGTACAACGGATTTATAAGGACATATTGAGAAAAAGCGGGAGGTGGTTAGGCGCAGCGTGAAATGCCTTTCTACACTGCTCGACTTATGAGGACAGTAGTGCTGTCCTCGTAGTTACGGCATGTCCTCATAGAGTCGGTATGTATCCATGGTTTTTGTCCTCATAATCCGGTCGCACCAACGCACACACACACACACACACACACACACACACACACACACACACACACACACACACACACACACACACACACACACACACACACACACACACACACACACACACACACACAGTACACAACTATATATGCACTAGTATATATGCCAGTTGTGCATACGTGTATGTAATGTATGCATTGCATTTGGGGGCTCCAGTACTCAGTGTGAGTGAATAAATGTGGCATGAAAATAAAGACATTTTTCTGAGTTCTCCTTGCCTAATGCATAATCCAGTTTGAAAACCGCTGAATGTTCTCTTGACTTGAACCCCTACTTGGCCAATACAAGTAAGCAAAAAGCAAAAAGAAATGGGTATTAATATTTCTTAAATGGTCTCTTTGTGAGAAGACCTAGTTGAAGGAGTCATCAGGCCTGTTTTGCGGTACACACCCTGCCACTTATCTAACAGTCTTACATTGTTCTGTGGTCATAAGAAGGTTTTGAGAAAGACATCCCACTGTCTTGGAAGAGTGTCTGAATAAATGTATTCTGCTGTTCTCTGTGAGATGCCTTAATGTGCTTTTGTTTTTCTCCTTGCTCCCAACAGATCGCTCTCCTACAGCTGTCGTCCTAAATTAGCTGAGCTCTGTGAAAGGATAGCTGTTTCAACTGACCCCCTCTGCTCCTTGAAGCTCCAGCCGTCCGTGACACCCAAATGCTGCCTGTCTTTCATCAAACTGGTCACTCCTGAAGAAAAATGGACTTGGAGTGAAAGGAACCCCTTCATGTGGACTCTAGGACAACTCTTAAGCTAGCCAGATAGCTGGCCCTCGGACTCAAATGGGTGACCTATGACAATGTAACCGATAGGGGGACTTGAGTTCTCGCTTTCCCAAGAAGCTGCAAGACGGATATGAGCTTGAGCCGTGGGCATCGACGATAAAACAAACCTTCCATCGCTTGAGGGCTTCTCTAACGTCATGCAGTCATCTGAGGAATTGTTTACCAGGAAGCTGAAAGCATTGAATGGGAGTATGGGACATCCAGCGACCAACACACAGGGCAAGCTGGAAGGGGGTGGTAAAACGAATGGGACGCCCGCCATGCCTAAAATGGGGGTGCGAGCCAGGGTGACGGACTGGCCCCCGAAAAAGGAGGGTTGGGAAAGCCGAGGCGGGCCCAACTACGAGAGCGTCATCACGGCCTTTCAGAACGGGCAGCCAGACCAAAGTGGGGAGATCACGGATTTGGGTGAAGCACCAATGGAGCCTGATTATTCGGATACAAAATATTCTCTGAGTGACCTTCTAAGTCTATCCCCTTTGAAGGGGCTTCATCCCATTCGCCAGCGGAGTAATAGTGACGTGACCATCAGCGACATTGATGCGGAGGACATATTGGACCAGAACGCCGTCAACCCAAACACTGGTGCCTCGTTGCATCGGGAATACGGCAGCACTTCCTCAATTGACCGCCAGGGTCTCGGGAATGAAGGGTTCTTTACCATGTTGCGAGGATACCGGATTGACAGTTTGGACCATCGCAGCGCCCCGCCTGTCGGTTTCCCAGAACTCCTTCGCTACGACACAACCCTCTCTCCAAGCTTGCAGACCGCCGCTCAAATAGCCCGCGGTGAGATCGTCCGAATCTCAGGCTACGACTACGTGGACACCTCACTCCTCTACAGCCGAGAAAGGGAGAAGTCTTTCATGCGTCGTCTCAAGTCCGAGTCGTCCGAGACGTCACTTTTTAGGAAGTTGAGGACTATTAAAAGCGAGAACGATGGTTTGCGACTCTCCACCGAGCAGGACGACCGCCGGCCGCTCAGTTTTCAGAAATGCTTTGCTCACTACGACGTCCAGAGCGTACTCTTCAACATCAGTGAAGCAGTGGCAAACCGTATCAGCCTCAACCAGAGGAAAAACACCACAACCGGAGCTTCTGCTGCCTCGCAGTACCAAATCCCAGGAGGTGGACAGGTGGGTGCAAATAATACTGGACCTGCATCCATGTTTGAGTCGCCACTGGGAAGTCGGGAAGACCTCAATCCCAAGGAGAACCTGGATGCGGATGAGGGGGATGGGAAAAGCAATGGATTGGTGCTCAATTGCCCGCATTTTCGCAATGAGGTTGGTGGAGAGGGGGAGAGGAGGATCTCTCTCTCCAGGGCCACTAACACCACCTACAGTGCTGGAGGAGAAAACTGCTCTTTCGAGTCGTCCTTGAGCTCACACTGTACCAATGCTGGTGTGTCTGTACTGGAGGTGCCACGGGAAAGCCAGGCAATCCACCGTGAAAAGGTCAAGCGGTACATCATCGAGCACATCGACCTGGGAGCGTATTATTACCACAAATTTTTCTATGGGAGAGGTAAGCCTTGTTATTTTTGCATGAAAAATGGGGTTGATTCTTGTTTGCAACGTGAAATCTTTCAATCCAGGTCGTATTTAGAATATTCATCAGTTCATGTTATTACAAAGAAAACAAAGTTTTTATTGTTTGTGATCTTGCTTTGCCTCTGAAACATCTTTCCTCTTTAGCGGATGTCATAAAGGTTGTGTTGGTGTTTTTTATTTTATTTCATTCATTACACCAAATTACACAACCCAAGTAAAAACTCTAAACTAAAGTGCCCAAAAAAAAGATGAGTAAGCTACACTGCAAAAAAAACTTTAACATTTAAATTATATAGATTAACTTGAAAGTCAACACTGATTAAGATATAATAATAATAATAAGAGTTTTCATAGATTTTATCTTGAATTGAGGTGCATTTTGGCTAATTTCACTTGCTTTTAAGTAGTTTATATACAAGTGAATAAATCTAGCTAAATAAAATACACACAAAAACAAAATCAGCCAGTTCAGTGAGATAAAATACATTCATATTATTGACACATCTATGAAAACAAGTCTAGATATCTCCTTCAGTGTTGCCTTTCAAGTATATTTTCAAGTATAAGAGTTTTTAGATATTTTTTAAAGTAGAATTACCTCATTAACTCACCCTCATATCATTCGAAACCTGTATGACCAACTTTTCATCAAAATATCTTCTATTGCGATCCACCATCCACGAAAATGAGTACAAAATACTAATTACAAACTTAAAATCCAAATTTTTTGCAGTGTTAATTATTAAAGAACTTGTATCTTGTAATATTTTCTCCTTTTGGATGCTATTCTGGTGATTTGGGGACTGAGACAATAGCAGCTTTTTTTAAGCCCGATGTTTATTACCCATTTTAAAGGGAGAAATGCTTGTGCCAAGGATTGAGGTGTGAGAATGTTCTCCTGTCTTTGGCCCGTGATTTGTCATGTGAGAATAGACAGGGTGAGGTGCAGCTGTTCCCCTCCGAGGAGCCGTGATGGCGAGAGGTGAGACGGGACCGTCCCACCGCTCTTCATTAAAACACCTCTGCGTGTCTGGGAATGGAACGAGCAAACGATACTTCGACTTATCCTGCACAATGTCATTGGTGTTTGACTGAGAAGGTGTCAGCGGCTGTCAGACTGCTTTTTTTGCATGTCTGCACATCTGCATAGTCCTGACAGGATTGTGTTACCCATTCCTAAGCTCTGGAAAACAGCTGCTCCACCTCTTGCCATGCAGAAATTCGTTTCTTTCCTTTGACTACGCTGAATAATGAGCCGCAGCCTGTGGGTGAAAGCTGCGATTGTGTCCTGCACGTTCACGGGCTTTCCAGCCATAGCGAATGAGCAAATTACAGCTCAGCTCAAATGACAATAAATCATGTTAGCAAGCTCGTTCTATTGGGAAATAGATAATCATCCGCCTTGCCGTGTCGCCAAAAACCTTTCAAGCAGAAGAGCTCAATTTCCTCTGTGCCGCCATTTGTACAGGCCAGGGTTATATTTAAGACACTGATTAGTCTTGTGCATTTAACTATATATTTTAAGTGCCGTTTAAAGAGGGAGTTTAAACTCGAAATTTAATCCAAACAGCTTTTTTTGGATGTATGGCCTCTTCAATAATTCTAAACTAATAGCCAAATCAATTTATTTAGTTATTCTTATACTGTAACTTGCAGGTAATGCAGATTTACTTCTATATTGCTAATAGTTAACACAGTAATTTAATGCTGATTGATACAACGGAGATAAAGGCAATAATAGCAAATAATGACACATTTGTCAAGAAAGAAAATGCATTTGGTTTCGTCTCAAGGTTCTCATCTACTCAAACATCCCATTTCATGTTGATTTTATTTAAATACATAACTTCAAATTGATTTAAAATGATTGCATAACTTTACATTAAATTCAATTGAATGGATAAATTCAAACTGAATTCAATTGAATGCATAACTTAAATGCTTGACTTTAAATTAAATTGAATGCATAACTTTTAAATTGAATTAAAAATAAATGCATAACTTGAATGCGCAACCTAACATTAAATCAAATTGAATGAATGGATAACTTTGAATTTTATTAAATTGAATGCATAACTTGATAACATGACTTCAAATTAAATGCATAACTTTAATGCATGGCTTAAAATTGAATTAATGTAATGCATTATGTGAGACAGATACTGATTTTATTTTGACTGTCTGACTTTCCCGACTTCAAACCAACAGTCAAAGTCCATTTAACCTTTATAGCTGCTCATCACCCCATCAGCGTCTCTACAGGACCTGGAAAGGACAGACCTGTCAACATGTCTCTCCCAGGAGCCACTATCCCTTTCACACCTTACTTTCCATGATGCTTTTATCACCCAGGGAGTGGCATTGATTCCATTAACTTCCTCTCTCTCTTCGTGACCAAGATCTGCGTGATCGGAGAGGATGCAAGATGTGACATGCCTACTGAAAGTTTACACTACGGTTGCATTAATACATGAATGTTATTAATACTTCATCTTGTTGAGCATCATGGCCTCCTGTTGCTGATGGGCAAGCTGATGTCTTTCTATCATTTCCCAGCAGGGTTCTTGTAAAGTGTATTTTAGAGAAGAATTTTACTCTTCACTGCAGCTTTAGGCTTTACCCTCATGAGTGTGTTCAAGTGGATGAGATGAAGTGTCACCGGTGAGGGTGTTTGTTGTCGTTCCCCTCTGGATTTGAGTTGGATTAAGGGCTGTTGTAGGACGTTTTCAGATCTCTCCCATCATGCAGTTGGCTTCTGCTATCGTAACTTTAAATAAGGTTGTATTTGTTTTTTGTGTTGTGCCATCAGCAGGATCCCAAACACTACTTAAGCTGTTGCTAATTTCTTTGTTGTCCCATATTTATTTTGTGTGTGTGTTTTGCATAAATACGCATTATCCTAATGTTTTTCCCGCTCTGGCATGCTTTAGTACGCATTGCCTGTTATATTGCATAATTTTGGCCTCAGGTTTTCAACATTGTGTCCAAATGCATGTTTGTCTACAAAGGGGCTTACTAAAAAAGGATATCAAAAAGAAAGAGGTTAAGCCTCGTCTGTGGCGGGTTTTATTTCTCCTGTTAATCTCTGACGGACTCCTGTGGTCCAGTGAAATCAGAGATTATGGATCATAAATGACACTAATGTGTCTGCGAGACTATGTGAAATCTATGGAGATGCTGCGCCCTGGATCAGACGACATCATTGCCATGTAGACATGACGGATAACTAAGACATTTTTCTCCATTATAGCATCCATATTATTCATCCATCCTTTTGTCCATCCATCCATCCGTCGTCCATCCATCCATTCTTTTTTCGTTTCATCCTTTTGTTCTTCCATCCATACATAATTTTTCCATTCATCCATCCATTGTTTTGTCGTTCCATCCATTTATCTTTGTTGTTCCATCCATCCATCCTTTTGTCCATCCATTTATCATCCATCCATCCATTCTTTTTTCATTTCATCCTTTTGTCCTTCCATCCATCATTTTTCCATCCATCCATCATCCATCCATCCATTCTTTTTTCCATTCCATCCATCCATCCTTTTGTCCATCCGTCCATCCATTCTTTTTTCGTTTAATCATTTTGTCCTTCCATCCATCCATCCATCCATCCATCCATCCTTTTGTCCATCCATCCATCCATCCATCATTTTCCATTCCATCCATCCATTCTTTTTTTGTTTCATCCTTTTGTCCTTCCATCCATCATTTTTCCATTCCATCCATCCATCCTTTTGTCCATCCATCCATCATCCATCCATCCATTCTTTTTTCATTTCATCCTTTTGTCCTTCCATCTATCCATAATTTTTCCATTCCATCCATCCATCATCCATCCATCCATTCTTTTTTCGTTTAATCTTTTTGTCCTTCCATCCATCCATCCATCCATCCATCCTGTTGTCCATCCATCCATCCATCCATCATTTTTCCATTCCATCCATCCATCCATTCTTTTTTTGTTTCATCCTTTTGTCCTTCCATCCATCCATCCTTTTGTCCATCCATCCATCATTTTTCCATTCCATCCATCCATCCTTTTGTCCATCCATCCATCATCCATCCATCCATTCTTTTTTCATTTCATCCTTTTGTCCTTCCATCTATCCATCATTTTTCCATTCCATCCATCCTTTTGTCCATCCATCCATCATCCATCCATCCATTCTTTTTTCGTTTAATCCTTTTGTCCTTCCATCCATCCATCCTTTTGTCCATCCATCATTTTCCATTCCATCCATCCATCCATTCTTTTTTTGTTTCATCCTTTTGTCCTTCCATCCATCCATCCATCCTTTTGTCCATCCATCCATCCATCATTTTTCCATTCCATCCATCCATCCATCCTTTTGTCCATCCATCCATTCTTTTTTCATTTAATCCTTTTGTCCTTCCATCCATCCATCCTGTTGTCCATCCATCCATCCATCATTTTTCCATTCCATCCATCCATCCATCCATTCTTTTTTTGTTTCATCCTTTTGTCCTTCCATCCATCCATCCTTTTGTCCATCCATCCATCATTTTTCCATTCCATCCATCCATCAAACATCCATCCATTCTTTTTTAATTTCATCCTTTTGTCCTTCCATCTATCCATCATTTTTCCATTCCATCCATCCTTTTGTCCATCCATCCATCCATCTATTCTTTTTTCGTTTCATCCTTTTGTCCTTCCATCCATCATTTTGTCATTCCATCCATCTATTCACCGTTTTGTTGTTACATCCATTTTTTTGTCCTTCCATCCATCTATCGTTTGTCCTTCCATCCATCCATCCATCCAATGTCACAATGCAAAAAATCCAATTGTAAAATCCTATTTATTTATTTATTTATTTATTTGAGACAGATGATCTTAATTGTCATAAAAATAATCTCACAATGTATGTCAAAATGCAAAAATCATAATGGTCCTAAAATAAACTTGCTTGCTTTATTTTTTACATTTTTTAAAAATAATGTCACAATGCAAAAATTCTAAAATAAGAAGGTCTGTAGGCCGTTATCAGTGGAGTGTCCCGTGTGTGTATCTCCTCAGCATGACCGGCACCAGAGAGACTGAAGAGTTTAAATAGCTCTTACTGTCCCCTTCGCTCAGGGTCTCTCGCTCGCTTTGTTGGGTGTTCCTGGAAAGTGTTATCTGTCCTTCTTGAACCTGACCTCATATCCTCCTCTCTTTCCTGTCATTAACCCCCAGAGCACCAGAACTACTTCGGGGTGGATGAGAACTTGGGCCCGGTGGCCATCAGCGTTCGGAGAGAAAAGCTGGATGATGGGAAAGACAAAGAGGCATCGCAGTTTAACTATCGGGTCACCTTCAGGACGAGTCAGGTACGCGAGTGCTTGACAAATGGACATGAATCTCTCAGCAAATATTGATATAAATAACTATTGATAATTAGTTTTGATTTTAACTGGATTAATGAATGAGCATATCATGTGTAATTAAAAATTAATGGATTGATGGCCCTAATTGCAATACAATTTTTAGTAGTTTTAGAAGGATTAATGGTGTCACACTGGAAATAATAGTTCCACATAAACATTTAAATAATTAATTAAAGTTTTACCTGCTGAAATGAAGAAAGCATTTAATTAATATTAAGAGATGAAACTCTCCCTCTTTCATACTTACAAGCTTCATTTTCTAAATTATTTATTTATATGTTTGTTTGTTTGTTTTCTTTCTTATTTATTTGTTTAATTACCGGTATTTATTAATTCGGGACAGATCATCTTAAGGGTCCTAAAATAAACTTTTAAAATTCTTTATACAAAACATAATTTCCTTTTTTTCTCTCTCATGGGGTGAAATATTATTATTATTATTATTATTATTATTATAATTTTCGAGGACAGTAAATCAACAAATGCCCACATGCAGATTCCTTTTTCTCCACCGCATTCAACCTTAGTCTTTGATCTTCAGCTTCTAATGGCGCTCGTTCACATTTAATCTGAACGATGAAGCCTTTTGTCATTTCCTACATGCCATAGATGCTCAAATGACTCAATATCTCAGGATGACCCTTTAAAGAGATGCCAGAGAATTCAGCATAAAAGGCTTTTACTTTATAAGTGCAGATAAAAGGGTCGAGACTCAAAGAGCGCGCTCTCGAATCTCCTGCAAGGGGGAAGATTTCATTGACAATAACTTGATATTCCAATATATCTATACATATTTTTTATGAAAGAATCCTGTTTATTAGAAAAAGAACATGTACTTGAGGTCACATACTCATATGACAATCTTAACTGTCACCGTCCCATATACGGGACCCCTAACTTTACTTTGCTATATTACTATTAAATCCTAATCTAATTATGACAAACTATATATGGTTGGAAAGGTCTAAGACTCCTAAATAGATACAAATTAAAGTTGACGCACACACCTTTAATAATTGAAACTTTGATTTTCATGCTGAAAGTTCATAATAAAACATATAATCTAGTATTTTTCAATAAAAAAAATATAATATAATATTATCCTCTAAAAAGTATAATATTATCTTTTTTATCGCCTTTTTTTATTACATCACATATTTTAGTAGTTATCATAAATTAGGTATCATTTGAAAGCTTACAAACTCAGAATTCATCCTGTGAAAACCGTTTTGAAATTGAACGTTGCGTTACCATAGAAACGGTACTCTAAATTATTTTATCAGGCTCCTCCCCTTTTGGGCATCATTATATTTCATAATTTATGATCAAAACCTTTTCTAATCCTGACAAAACACATATTGTCAGAAAGGTCTGAGTCTCAAGTTTCCAAATTTTGTGACAGAATTGATATTTGGACAGAAATGTATTAATTTGTTAAGGCAGAATGTATACAACTAAATTCAATGGAATGTATGTCACCCGGTGGCTATTTTTGGTACTACGCTTAAACAAAATCTCATGGGAACTTCAATTTTTGTGATATCAACTTCAAATTTGGAACACAACTTGGTTAGATATATGGCTTTGATTTTATAGTACTTTTAGAGTAAAAAATATTTTGTAAAATATATATTTTTTATCAAATAAAAAATATATAGTACAGTATATTTGATTTACTGTAAATTTAAACTTCCATAACTTTTTCATACTTTCATTTTTTGAAGTGTTTTCACTTCAGCAATAATCTGCTGAGTGTTTCCTTTAAAACAAGACCAAACTTGGGTCTATATTCCAAAGCATTCTTGAATTACAACCATTTAAGTTTGAATAGTGCATTTTAACCCCCATTCTCAAAAAGGGGGGTGACAGCGAAGGGGTTAAGCCATCGGATAATAAGGATTTGGATAGTTTGAGGCAGGAAAATGCCCTTGCTGTTTAATGCATGTGTAATGATTAGTTAATCTCTATTGTAATTCAAACTCTTGTCTTTCTCTGGCCCTCCTCAGTTAACCACCTTGCGTGGGGCGATTCTGGAGGACGCTGTGCCGTCCACGGCGAGGCACGGGACGGCCCGCGGTCTCCCACTGAAGGAGGTGCTGGAGTACGTGGTGCCTGAGCTGAACATCCAGTGCCTCCGACTGGCCCTCAACTCTCCCAAAGTCCCCGAGCAGCTCCTCAAGCTGGACGAGCAGGGGGTGAGGACTAGTCTAGAGCACTGAAATCTCTATTCAGATATGCATAGTAGGGCTGCACGATTTGGGGGAAAAAATCTACTAGGTTTTTTTTTTTCTCAGAAAAAGTGTATGCAATTAAAAAAAAAAATCCAGGTTTGCTCTGCTTGTTTGTAGGACTCCACAATTTCGCTTGATTTTGTGATTACAGATCAATATGGCTATAAAAGTACTACTACTACTAATAATAATAACAATTATTATTATTTATTATGAATAAAAATAAAATATATAAAACTTACTAAATTAAAAGAAAATAAGGAATATTATTGTAATATTTCAATGAAAAAATTGTGTTAAAAAAATGATGCATTAATTTCTTCAAACACTAATCCATGAAACCTGTATTTAGACAGAAAACCGCAGGTAGGGAACATATATTTATTTAATTAAAATGCGGTCTTTGTGATTTGATCCTCATAATATGATAATTTTAGTTTTGTTTAGATTAATTGTGTAGCCCTAATGGATAGTGTATTTTATAATATTGCTTTTGCTTATGTTTTATAGCAATAAGTAACATTCATTGTAGTGGTCGATCAATATGGTGACTGAATCTTTAACATTTTTACATTTGATTTTTTGCTTATTCTATTGTGATTTTTACCTTGATTTTTACCACATCAGCCATACTTTAGTCTGGTTTTAATGCAGCATTGTATCTTTACACTGCCTTTTGTGCAGGGACAGAGCAGCCTTGACTTGGCTGTGTAAAGATGCCTTAAGAATGTGCATCGTTTCTCACAAATATCTGTAACACAGCAGTTCTGAAAGTGTTAATGCAAATAGTGCATGGTTATATGACTAAAAATCAACATGCACTGGGTCTCAAAAGCACCAGAGCTGTTTTTCCCATGGACGTCTGTCAACATGGATTCAGATGGTGGTCTTGGTTCTGAGAGAGAAAATCAGCCAATATCATGTTATAGTTCGATCAATAACAGCTCCAGCCCATTGATTTCCCAACTTGAAGTGGAAATGTGAATGAGCACGGACGAATATAGCCAAAATTACATTTTATTTCATAGATAGAGACGTTTAATTTCGACCCTCTCAAAATTTTTTCATTATCGTCTTTAAAGAGAAGTGATTATTGAAGTTCTCTCGAGTGCTAAATATAGACGAGTGTGATATGAGCGGAAAGTCATTTCTTTTTACCTGGCAATTCTGTATATTATTATATACTTCCATTTCAAAGTTTGGGGTCAGTAAAGTACTTAATACTTTTACCGTATTCATCAAGGGTGCATCATAATTAATCAAAAGTGACAGTAAATTATGTTACATTGTTACTAAAGATTTATATTTGAAATAAATGCTGTTCTTTTAAACTTTTTATACATCAAAGAATCCGGAAAAAACAAATGAACATAGTTTCCATTAAATCTGAAGCAGCACAACAGTTTTCAACATTTATAATAATCATCAATGTTTCTTGAGCATCAAATCATCATATTAGAGTGATTTCTGAAGGATCATGTGACACTGAAGACTGGAGTAATGATGCTGAAAATTCAGCTTTGCATCACAGGAATAAATTACATTTTACTATATATTCACATATATAAAACAGTCATTTTAAACTGTAATATATACTTAGCTGACGCTTTTATCCAAAGCAACTTATAAAAGAGAAACAAAAGCAATTTGTCAAAGAGCCAACAAAAAAATGTATAGTTCACAATATTGCTGTTTTTACTGTATTTTTATCAAATAAATGCAGCCTTGATGAACGTAACATTAAACAAACACAGGAAATTTTACCAACCCTCAAACTATTGAACAGTGTGAAGTGTAGATATTAGGGAAATACTATATATCTTAATAGCTCCCTGTCATATCAAGTCAAGTCACTTTTATTTTATAGCGCTTTATACAATACAGTTTGTTTCAAAAGCAGCTTTACAAGGATAAACAGGAAAATTATGCATTTCGGCTATTGTTCAGTTCAGTGTTGATTCAGTTGTAAAAACCATCAATTATTAAATTATTCATTTCATCTATCCACCTTATTCCTACGCCCCATGACGCTTAATGGGGCGCATTAAGCTTCTGTGTTGTACGTCACACGCATCACACACATGACCAGCTTCGGCCAATAGTGAGCCTACGTGTGACGTACAATACAGAAGCGTTGCGCAGTTTCACTACGTGAAATCTCACGGCCCACAGAGAAGGAAATGATTAGTTGAATAAAGTCGTTATTTTTGTTTTGTTTTTTTTGCGCACAAAAAGTATTCTCGTCGCTTGATAAACTTAAGGTTGAGCCACTGTAGTCACTCCGACTATTTTAACGATGTCTTTCATAACTTTTGGGCCGGCCAGTTTCGATCCCTTAAGAAGCCTATGGAGGAGTGATCCAGCTCTCAGATTTAATCAAAAATATCTTAATTTGTGTTCTGAAGATGAACGAAAGTCTTACGGGGTTGAACAACATGAGGGAGAATCATTACTGACAGAGTTTACATTTTGGGGTGAACTCTCCCTTTAAAGGGGTCATATAATGCCATTTTTGTACAAGCTAATATGATTCTTTAGGGTCTAAATTTAAAGTTTGTAATATACTTTAATTAAAAATTCTCATTAGTATTGTAAGAAAACACTTATTTTACCTGGTCAAAAACAGCTCTGTTTTCAGCACGCTGTTTCAGTGCATATGACTTTAAATGATCATGAGCTTTGCTCACCCCGCCTCTCTGTTCTGTGCGTACACCGTTAGTAACACAATAACACAATAACCATAACGCGTTGTTCAGTATAAACGTGGAATTATGAATTATATTGAGAACGTCATACATAGAAAACATGCCGTAATGTACCCTGAGTGTAAACCTTAGACGCATTCATTGTGAAGCGTGCAGCTAGCGATTTGCAAAGATTAATATATTAATATAAAGTTTAATAAAACGTTTCACTCACTTCCGTTCTTCTGGAGGTTCAGCAGGAACACGAATATCTGGTACCGATCCTTTTTAGCAAAGCTTCTTAGCAAATCCAGCTTTACACTGACCCTCGTTTATAAAGCAGTCTGGTGTGTGAAATGATTCGCGCAAACATGAGAGCATTGACGTTGCTCGTGGGGAATATTCCCTTCGAAAACAAACTCAGCCACTGCGTCTTCAGCGGTTCGGATTTAGGAACATTAAAATGACTGTGTTTGTTATTACACCCAAGAACAGAACACCACAATCGCTTAGACGCCATTCTGCTCATAGACAGTGCTCCAGCATATCAACAACCGCGCCGGTCCGCGCAGACTATGATTGACAGCTGGCTCACGAGCGAGGGTGGGTCTGTGTTGAAACGCAGCTGTCAATCAACAATCGTGGGAGGGGCGTCCGTTTTATTGACGTCACAAAAACGAACGGCTCGATTTGAGGCAGGGGAAAACATATAAGGAGATTAAAACAAAACCACTGGATGGATTTTTATCATTATATGATGGTTGTGTACAGACACTGCCAACACACATTTCAGTACAATCAACTTGTAAAAGTGCATGTACCATTATATGACCCCTTTAAGTGTCTCCAACTAAGCAAGCCAGAGGAACCCGAACTCCATCAGTGACCGAATGGAGAAACCCCTAGTGAGGATCCAGGCTCAGTCGGGAGTCAGTTCTCCTCTGGCCAAACGGCCAATCATATGAATGTCAAACTGTGGGTTCTCATTGACACGGGCGATGAATCCTGTAGCTTGAAGCTGTCCGAAAATTCCCAGGGTGTTTTTTCTTACATACAGTAAGTGACAAAAATTGCAAAAAGACATTCCATTGCTGGATGAAATAGCACTTTATTGATTACAGTTTCAAGTTTCTCTGCAAGAGCGTATAAGGGTTTGTCCCAGAAGGCTTGTGTTTTAGTGCAGACCCTGTGTAGTTTTCCCTCTTAAGGTGATGATACACAGGGCAACTTTTTGGGCAATGTTCCCGCCAAAGGGCAACCAGATGACACACAGGGCCCAAGACTGATCTAAATTATCCAGATAGAAATGTATTGCTCATTTTCAATGCGAAAAATGCCTAAGCAACAATCGCTCGGCAAGATTGCCCAGCAACATTGCTCAAAAAGTTGCCCTGTGTATCATCACCTTTAGTTAGTCGAAGTTACTCAGCGAAGCACTAAACAACTGTTTATACCGTTTGGCACACGACCTCTCGTACGGATTCTGGGAGTTCTCTCAGGGAAATCTGGATAACGTGCGCTGAATTGCTACCAGTTGGAACAGCATAATGTGGGCCTCAGATTCGGAGTGTGTTATTTGTACGGGCGTTCATGCTTACTATGTTTATAATTCAGGCATCAAGTTTTGTTTTGGCTCGTACCACTCAAATTTCCTTCAGAAACAGTATCTAGTTATTTAGCAATTTCGTTTGCTGCTGTAAGTGCCACTAAAATTACATGCTTCACCTTTTAAAAAGAACCTAATATGCTTTTCTACATGTTCATCTTTCTTTAGTGTGTGATGTTGCTGTTTGAGCATGAAAAAAGTTCTCCTCTATATCAGTGTCAGTGTTTCTGAACTCCCTGAAACGCCTCCATTGTAGTCTTGAGTTTCTTCCGGGAACAAACACCTCACCATATTCCTCATTTAAATAATTCATACGCAGAATAAAGGGGCGGGGCCTGGTTGAGTCAATTAGTAGTGGGTTAAACTGGCGGTTATGGTAAGGGGCGGGACATTTCCCAAACACACTCGAAGCGCTTGACCAATCACAACACACTGATCCAGCCGACCAATCAGAGCACAGTGTGCTTTTCAGAAGGAGGGGCTTCATAGAGACAGGAACTAAAAAGAGCGTTACTGACAGACTGGGAAGAGAGGAGCTGCAACGATGGAGAATATGAGGAAAATGAATGTTTTTGACCCCAAAAACAAAATAGACTTTGAAAAGGGGCGTAATAGATCACCTTTAAGGAAAGACTGTATTTGTCTTGTGTATTTGACTGTAGCACATGCATGTT